GGGGGTTGGGGGGGTGGGGGGGTGGTAAGGTTGGTGAGGGGGTGTAAGGTTGGGGGTTGGTGAGGGGGTGTAAGGTTGGTGAGGGGGTGTCATGCTGCCCCGGTCAGTCTATCTGCTTCCTACGGCGAGTCACGGGTGATGGGTACCTGCTCTATAATGGTCTAGCCTGCCAGAGTCTCCAGTTTGTCGAGCACACCCTGGATCTTGTGCACGGCTTCCTTGCGGGCCAGCCGGACATGCTGGTGACCGTCTGTCTCCACCGCGTCGGCCTCCAGCAGCTGCTTGGTGAGCAGCTCCTCCAGCAGCCGGTAAACCTTGTCTCCCTTCTTCCCGCTGAAGCGGTCCACCTCGGCCTCCAGCTGCTGCAGCTTGCTCAAGACCTGCTCCACCTTGGCGTGCCCGGGGTGCCCGGCGGCTCCGGCCATCTGCAGCCCGTTGCTGGTTGGGGTGGCGGCTTTCTCCTCAGGGGGCTTGTAGACGGTCGGGGGGCTGCTGTACTCCACCCTGGGAGCGGGCGGTGGGTTTGCGGGCTGGTCCGGGATGTAGCCTGCAGGCTGCTGCTCACTCCCTGTGTAGCCGGGGCCGCTGAGGCAGGCTCCCCGGAGATCCTGACGGTTCACGGGATACGGGAGATCCTGGAAAACAGACGCCAAGTGTTTAGAAACCAGCGAAGGAGCGTTCAAACGGGGGCCATCTGCTGACGGCCGGGCGCTCAATGATTCAGACACAGGGTGTGGGTGTCTGCGTGGGGTTGGGGGGGGGGGGGGGGGGAGGGTTGTTGGAAAATCAGTTTAAACAACATCAAAACTGAGTCTAACAATAAACCACACACACGAGCCTCGGGCCAACTTGCTCAGGGATGTTGTGGCACACTCTCTGGAACGGGTGAACCTTGAACCTGGGCCACCTAGCTCAAGGTCGGGACACTACCACTGCAGCTTACGGGCCCCTTAAACTCGATTGTTCATTGTGCCTTTCAATGGCGGAGGGGGGTGGTGGAAGAGAAGCTGGGAATTCAGGTGATGACAGCCTGAAATCCAGGACTGAGCAAAATCTGAAGGAACGAAATGAGCCCAAGACCAAAGAGAGGTGGGCCAATCAGCCCATCAAGTCCACTCATAGTTGATTTGATCATCCTCAACCCCACTTTCCTGCCTTTTCCCTTGTAACACTGATTGCCCTCCCCGATTAAAAATCTCGCTCAGCTTTCAATGTACTCAGCGACTCAGCCTCGACAGCCCTCTGTGGTAAAGAATTCCACACTCACCATTCCCTGAGAGAAGAAATGCCTCCTCATCTCTGTCTTCAATGTGTGACCACTGACTCAGAGATGATACCCCTCCCCAGTCCTAGACACTTCCACAAGAGGAAACAACCTCTCCTCATCCACCCTGCCAAGTTCCCTACAAATCTAGGGATTTTTCAATCTGGCCACCTCTCATTTTTTCTGAACCCCAATCAGTACAGGGCCCAATCTACTCAATCCGCTCCTCACAAAATAGCCCCTCTGTACCCGGGATTGGTCGTGTTAACCTTCTCTGAACTGCATCCGATGTCAGTCTCTCTATCTATGTAAAGGGCTCAAAACTGTGCAGTATTCCAGCTATGGTCTGACTAGTGACTAGTATAGATTTTGCAAGGTCTCTCTATTTTAATATCCCATTGCGTTTGCCTTTCCTGTTAGCTGATGACCTTGGATGCTAACTTTTGTGATTCATAGGCTCGCTCTGTGCTGTTGCTTTGCGGTCTTTCCCCATTGAAATGGTAAACAGCTCCTCCACGCTGCTTTGGCCATGTGTATAATCTCACATTTTCCCACATTCTGTTCCATTGAATGTGCCTGTATCATCACCATTTACCCTTCCCACTGAGTTTGATGTAATTGGCAAACTGGACTGTTTGCTCCCCCGCCCCAACCAGATCATTAACGTAGAGTGTGCGAGCAAGACATTCTTAGCCTGTCACGGCAGGCTACATTAATGTGTAGCAACAGGTTTGTCGATGGGAGAAACCACGCAGGCAGAACTAACTCTGATTAGGGGCCCTGAGTGTTGGGAAACATGCAGTAAACACCAAAAGGCTGGGAATGTTCCACAGGTTTGGCAGTACCCAGGACAGGAAGCAGAGTTGATGCTTCATGCTTTTGGAGAGAGCTGGAGCGAGTTGGAAAACTAACAGGTTTGTGACACAGGATGCGGGGAAGGGGGTTGTAGATTAAAAAGGGTCAGTGATAGGGGTGGAAGACACAGCAGCTACTTTGAGGAGCCTGCCCCCCATGGCGTCACCCTGACCTCATGTTACTTGAATTCGGCGGCTGTGCTGTGCTCCGAGACAGACCTCTGCACCCTCAGCTTGCTGCACTGTGCGCCGTATAAGCAGCACCTCATCTTCTGATCAGGCACGGCGTGGCTTACTCAACCTAATGAGTTCAGCCATTTCCAAATTCAAAGGAGGCTTCCAGGTAGCCAACAATGTCGAGCACGTACCTAAATCTTTCAGAAACAAACAGCCACCATTTTCCTCAATCACAGATTCCCTCCTGCGAGGCAGCAGGCCATTTGGCCCATCGAGTCCACGCTGACCCTCCGAACAGCATCTCACAAAGACCCATTCCCCCCTACCCTATCCCTGCAACCCGGTATTTCCCATGGCTAACCCAGCCAGCCTGCACATCCCTGGACACTACGGGGCAATTTCCCATGGCCAATCCACCCTAACCTGCACATTTTCAGACTGTGGGAGGAAACCCACACAGACACGGGGAGAATATGCAAACTCCAGACAGACAGATGCCCGAGGGTGGAATCAAACCCGGGTCCCTGGCGCCGTGAGGCAGCAGTGCTAACCACTGTGCTGGCCCATGAAAGTGGAGCACATGCCTGAAGCTTCGCTCTACAAGCCCTTTTGATGGACCACGTGCCTGGCAAGTTTCTGACAGCAGACGTGCCAATTACCTTCTGTTCGTACATGGATGTGTTCTGCCAGGCTGGAGCTGGTCTGGAAACAACACCACTCCCGAAAGGCGGCATGGCGTGGGGGAATTGCTGCGCTGACGGTGGGAGGCTTGCTGCTCGGGTCTGGGCCCAGACGTCATGGGACTGCATGCCTGCTGGTGGCAGAGGGGCTGTCTGTGTTGATGATGACCAGGGCTGGCTCTGGGAAGGATACAGGGGTCGCTGAGGGCCCGAGTCTGGGTTCCTGAAGTGGTACTGCGAGGCCATCACTGGGTACCGGGGCTGCTGATCGAAGACCTCCTGTTCGGTGGGAAAGAAAACAAAGCAGAACGTGTTACCTGGAGGCCGGAATGCAGCATGGAGTCAACCCGAGGACCAAAGGCACACTGCAGCCCAATTAAGAACCAAATCAGTAGCTCAACTCAAAACTCAGCTTCTCTGATGGTACCAAGCTGACCTGCCAGGAGGTGCATCATCGGTTTGGCCGCAAACCAAGAGGGGGACACAGTACAGGCACCCCTCAACACCAACCACCCCAAACTACGCAGCTAGGAGGACACGGGGCGACCCAGCTGAGACCAAGCCCATCCAGGGGGGTGGGGTGGGCAAGGGGACGGGGAGAGGAAGGAAGGATTTGGCGGGGAGAGGAGCTCACTTTGGAGCAGTGGGAGTACTGCCCAGGATCTGACCAACACTGCCCTCCCCCCCCGCCCCCAGCCACTGTTAGGAAAACCGAGCAACGTGAGGCCACATGTGGGAGCTTGCTGTGTACGTGTGGCTGGAAGGTCAGACAGATGCGGTCTGAAATTCACGCTGCACTGATACTGACCATCCAGCTGAACCCTGTGGGAATTAGGTCTCCTGAGAAGAACTCGGCGAATCCCAACACCTTCATTTTTTTGGACTGCCTGGAGAAACCCCACTGTCCCATCTTGACACCAAGGCTCTTTGTCAGTGTGAAAGCACCAAGGGTGACTTACAAAGACTAGTTGGTGACAGTGAAGAACCCAGCCACCTGCAGAATTGCTGAGAACCATCTTGGACAGGGTAAGCCAAGGCTTGAGTATCCCCAGCCAGTCTGGTCAAAAAAAAAAAAGAGGCTCCTGTCGAAAGCTGCTGCCACTTTGCTCGGTTCCAAAAGCAGCTCGTCGCCGAATGCCCCGTCTCCAACCTCAGTGGACCCTCCAAAGCTGCCATCAGTGGCGTTTGCCTTCCCAGCCTGTGCCTGTCCTAAGCACGTTTCCAGGTGAGGCTCCCTCTGATTGGAATGGTCACAGTGTTAAATCCAGGCTCTTCCCATTCCTTGAGCTGGCTTGCCTCCATTCCTTTCCACCGCCCCATGAGGAAAGGCTACCCGTTCCTTCCAAAAAGGCTCCACTCTGCTTCTCATTTCTGAGTTAATCCTCACCAAGTACATCGCAGTGCACGTGGGAGGCTGCGCTGAAACTCAGCGCCACTCCTTCTGATCCCCTCTCGTCAGCGCGACACTGCTTTCCCAGCCCGCACAACCTTGCTCCAAAGACATCCCGAGGAAAACTCAGTTCTGAGGAAGGGTCACCGGACCCGAAACATTAACTCTGTTTTCTCCTCCACAGATGCTGCCAGACCTGCTGAGCTTTTCCAACAACTTTGTTTTTCTTCCCGTGGAAAACTCAACTCACTTATCGTTCCTCCTTGCCATTCCCTTTCTTCCTACTCTGTGCGTGAGACAACTTTTCTGGCCCTGCTAACTGACCCCATCACAGCCCCCCGCCACCCCCAGACCACACTCAGCCTTGGTGACGACCTAATGCAAACACATTTCCACTCCATCAACATGACTGCTACCTTCCCGATCAGTTGGTGCTGCTTGATTGTTCCTCGCCTGGGTGGCTGTGCAAACGCTTCACCCTCATTCCTGGGAGGCCGGATTACTCCACTAACCTTTTCACAGAGCCCGCGCTCTGCCCCAAGTATGCTCCCGGCTTCCTGTTTGCCGCTCACCCACCACCCTAGTGGCTCACTGACCCGACCCAAACTGGCTCCTGGCCTGACCGCTGTGAACTTCCTCATGAACAGCGACCGAAGTTGCTGGAAAAGCTCAGCAGGCCTGGCAGCATCCGTGAAGAGAAATCAGAGTTAGCGTTTCGGGGCGGGTGAGCCTTCCACACAACCGAGGAAGGGTCATCGGACCCGAAAGGTTAAGTCTGATTTTCTCCTTCACAGATGCTGCCAGACCCTGCTGAGCTTCCCCACCAATTCTGTTCATGTTTCCGATCTGCAGCATCCGCAGTTCTTTCGGTTTGCAAACTTCTCATCCTTGTTTAGAAACTTCACCGTGGTCTTCTCTCTCTCTGCAGCCTGTGGCCTTCCTGCATGTGTCAGCTTTCATTCCCCACCAGCACTCTCGCCTGGGCCCCAAAGCGTACATTGTCTTTCCGAAGCGTTTGGCTTCTCCTTCAGGAGATTCCTCTGAAAAAGTACCGACCTTTAGGCACTGGCTCTGTTACCCTCACTGTGGCTCAGCACCAAACACCTTCTATTTATCTCACGCTCATTGGAGCATTAAACTATGGTAAATTTCACAACCAGAAACAGACAGAACTGTACGTTACTGCTTTCCTTACCAACAACCAATGCTGAAGTCTGGTCAGCCCTGCGTTTTATAGCGCAGTTCATTCTGGTTAATCATCTAACCTTTCACAGGCCCTCATTGAACAGCCGCCCCCCCCCACCCCGGATGTCGGGCAGGATTGTCACATACCCGCTGTCCCGTAGCAGCGTACGCTGGGTGTGCTGGTGTCTGCGGCCTGGCTGAAAGGTTGTGGGACGGCGGCCCAGCCTGGGAGTGGGCCCACTGTGCCGAAGGAGCATGTCCGTTCGACGGGGGCCTGGGCAGCCCAGCTTGCTGCTGAATGTTTTCGCTGGCGACGGTCTCGGGGGACCTGCTCTCACCCGGTCCTGGCCGATACCACGCGTTCCCTGGGATGTGGCCCGGGGAGGATGCCCGTCCGCCAGGGAAGACGCCGTTGACGAGACCCTGAAAACAAGAAACAAAAAAAGAACAGACGGACGTCAGCGGCTTGCACACCCGGGTAAGCGAGGCAACGAAAACGCACACACTAACATCACACGCTGCTGAGCTGTCAACGGAGGCTGGGAAAACGATGGAAGGAAATAGCCCGTCCCGAGTTAACACTTGTCACTGTTTGGAAAAGGGGCACTGCAGAGCTCCGTGAGGCCCTGGAGCGGGGGTGGGGGGAGCGAGGGGGATGTGGAGGGGGTGGGGGTGGGGGGGTGTGGTGTGTTGGTCTCTGCCATTGCTACCTGTGCTTGTGGCCCTGCTGGGTTCCAGGCTGCTGACATCAGCAACGACCAGCCAGCAACGGAGGTGGGGGGGGGGGTGGGGGTGGGTTGGGGAGGATGGGTGGGGGGGACAGGGGGTTGTTGGTGGGGAGCGGTGTTTGTGAGGTCAGTCCAAGGATAGCACAACATCATGCAGTAATAACACAGTTGCAGGCCAGGGCAGGACAGTTTCAGAAACATTCCAGCTCACGCTGCTAGGGAGCAACCAGACAGTGAGTAGACTGTGAGAGCGCGCGGAACGTAGCGTTGTCGGTAGGACGGCGACAGGATCGGGATGAAAAGGGAGCTGCTGCGGAGGCCATGTGGGGGCAGGTTCAGAAAGCAGGGAGATGACAAGAGGGAAGGATTGTTGAGAACAGATGAGCTGCTGGGATTGGTGAGGGGGTGGGGTAGAAAAGGTACTCGAGCAGAGCAGGAGGATACTCAGAGACCAGCAGTCTGCAGTAAGTGAAAGGCAGGCCAGCCTATGGTGTCAGCAGCAGTAACACATCAAGGAGGCTGAGTTCAGATGCTTTCGGAGAGCTCACTAGCTCAGAGACACAGGCTGTCAAGGGGGGTGTGTGTGTGTATCTCCAAGATACAGGCAGTGACTCACTGACCTCTCCCATAGCACAGACAGTAAAGCACAGTGCAAAGTGACCTCTACACATCCCCAGCAACATTGCAAAGCAAACCTGAGCTCATGACCGAGGTGTCAACGAAGGAAGGAACAAACACCAAGGCTGCATCTAAAAGAAGAACAGGAAGCAGAGTCACTGACAGGATTCGACCATATGGGATTGAGAAAGCTGGAAGGCTACTATCAGAGCGAGAGAGAGCGCTTGTGGAAGAGCAATCAGATGTAGAAAGTAGCTAAAGCTTAGAATTAGAGGCTGGAACGATGGGAAAACAGGTCAAGTAAGAGATATGTGACAAATTGTTGCATATCTTTAGAAAGCTTAGAATTGCTGATTCAATGTTGACCTAAAGTTTAAGACAAATTCTGCTTAAAGATAACGTATTAGCAGGCCACAAAACGTGGAACCATGACGTGTGACATTTCATAATGACATGCCTTAAGGGGATGTGATAAACTGTGGACATGCTTATCTGCCTGTAACTACTGTCTCAATCTATAACAGCATGTATAAATAAGTATTGCCTTGTTTTTATACTCAACGGAGACTACGGACGTGACCTTTTGTCAGCATTGGCTCCCTGTGATATCACGAATAAAGCCTCTTTACCTCGAAGTCTAAAGCTCCGGTATGTGACTAAATTAATATCTTAAACAGTGCTCCATTTCAGGTGGGGGGTGTCTCAGGCTGACAGGAACCAGGAGGGTTCTGGCAGAATACTAAAGGTTTTTACATTTGTCAGTCCATGTCAATGAGGGAATGGCAAACAGGCAAGTCTAAGGTTGATGGGGAAACAGGGTTTTAGCAGCAATTCAGAGTGAACAAAAACTCAGAGATGAGAAAGACTGAAGGTTGGCAGGAGAACAAAGAGAACCTGAAAAAGACATGTCTGTCTAGAGCTGAGGAAGGAAACAGGATTGAAACGCAAGGTCTCAGACATCACCTTCCAAACCCACGGCCCACTTCCATCTCGAAGGACAAGGGGCAGCAGGTACACTGCAAGTTCACCCTCCGAGCCCCTCACCATCACAACTCAGAAATATATCGGCCGTCCCTTCAGTGTCGCTGGGTCAGAATCCTGGAACTCCCTCCCTAAGGGCATCGTGTGGGGGTCCCTACACCACTCTGACTACAGCGGTTCAATAAGGAGGCTCACCCCCACATTCAAGGAGGGCAATTAGGGGGAAACGGGGCAATAAATGCTGGGCCCAGCCAGCAACGCTCATGAACAAACACATTGTTGAAAAGTTAGCAGCTTGTGATGGAGACAAACTGGGGTCAGTGACTTGACCCAGTGCAGAGACGCTCAGGTCATTTCAGGCTGAGCGAAGGGGCGCAACGGTCACGAGCAGACTGAAGAGCATGTCCCACTTTCGGGCACTGTTCCCCAAGGTCAACAAGACAGGCTCAAGGGCAGGACACGGGCTGCCCCTGGTGACCAATATTTTCACTGCCACACACAACGAATGAACAGTCAGACTCTCAACGTGCTGCTGCACAGAGGACACAGACTTGGTTAAACCACCCATTCAAAATGGGAAACATTGCACAGGGAACAACAGTCTGAAGCCAAGCAGCACTCAGTGAGCATGCACTTTGGAAACAAGGTCAGACAGAGTGACTCACCACACTCGGTCAATTTCTCTCGGGATGATTCATTCAGCCAAAACATAGCAGCAAACGAAGAGTTAGCCACCACTCCCTTCTCGGCCCAAGCTCACTGCAGCCCTCGCTCAACCAGTCTCCACCCAATTCGCTCAGTCACATTTCAGAGGCTATAGAGAAGTCAGCAGTGCCTAGAGTGGGCCAGTCTCAAACAGACAAACACACAACAGCACAGCACTCCTGCCAGTCCAGGAAAACAGGAGTCTGTTCACTGGAGTGGGGATCTGTGGGTAGAACACAGGCCAGTACCTCACAGGGACCAAAAGGGAGCTACAACAGAAGGAAGGCATTATGTTGGATTGCTTTAGCCTCCAGCAGTTACATGCCTGTAATCAATTCACACAGTTAAGAACTGACCATCACACAGTGGGTGTGTGTGGCCAGACCAGGGAAGGATGGTAGATTTGCTCCCCTGCAGGACATCAGTAAGTCAGTTTTGACAGCAATTTTTAATAGTGGTCACGGTCGCCATGGCGGAAATGACTTTTCAATTCCAGGTTTTTTTTCTCCCCCCAAAACAAGGTAAATTCCTTGAGGTCCTGGGCTAGGATTTGAACCACAGTATTCCCATGACATGATCGCAATGCTGCCAGATCCCGTTTCAAACAGAGCGAGTGCAAAGTAGTGGCAGAATGAAATGAAAACTTTCAGGACAAAAGACACGGCTAATTATTGTTCACAGAGTCCAAACTCACAATTCAAATCTCAACTTGACAGCACAACTCAACATGGTAAAGGACCCAGCCAAATCCTCTCAAATTCACAGCTCACCTCGACTCAAACCGCTCCAAGTGGATGGTACGTCAAATGTTGAAACGTTTAACACCGTTCTGACGTCACCTGCATTTATATGGTGCCGGGAGCAGCCCTGAATGAGATACCCACACCAAAGTCCAGCTGTTCCCAGACATAGAGATAACGAGAAGGTGGGAGAAGAGATTGGTTTGAAGGTGCTGAAGGGCAGGAGGGACATGTGGAAGGGGGCACAGAGGCAGGCAGCTGGAGGATAGAAAAGGGGACAAGTCTGGAATAGTACCACATTGTGCTGAGCAGAGGGGGAAGGTCGAGGATCGCAGCACTTGGGTCAGGGGTGGAAGTTTGAAGGCTCCAAGGCGGAAGGAGGCGATTGCGGGCGTCGATTGTAAGTGGGATGGGAAGGACAAGACAGTGTGGCGGCAGGATCTGCTTCCATCCGTTTCTGACGACGGCGGGTCAGATCGGTCTGGCAGATGGAGAACAGGGTGTGAACGTGACCTGCAGCGAGCAAGGGGATACCCACCTGATGACCAACTGACCATTACCCCCACCCACCTCTGCCCCCGCCCTGATCCAGGACACACCCTTCAGCTGAGCTCCCAACAGCCACATGCCTCAATCTTCCTGTCGAGAAGCCAGAACTGTACATGGATTGCCAACTGAACTTACTGCATTAAGGCAGGGTCAGGGCCCAATCACTCATGTGTCACTTCACCAGAAGTGCAGGCTCATCAAGCAAATTGTTATGATAGATTCTTCAATTTCTCCTACATCATCGCTCCTTTGATGCAAACTTTCCTCCCTTCAGGTTTTGTACCTGCTTCCAGCTAAACTCCCCTGATGTCCCCTTCTATCTTGCCTCTATTTCTTCCTTCGCTTTCCAACGTCAGTGCGCTTTGTCCTGCTGTCCTTGGTAATGGGTGCAATCTCACCAGTTACAACACACACCAATTTGTGGGGTGGGGTCGCAGCATTGTCACTATGCAGGCATGCAGTCCAAGACCACTCCCCTTCATTCCCCACTCCACTCAAATCCAGGGCAATGATTCGCTCTACTTCCTGACAAACCGCAGGAAAATACGGCTTCAACCCACACCTTCCGGGTCGCCTCCAGTTATTCCGTCTGACGCCCTCAACTTCACATCTCGCCCCATTTCGTTCTCCTGGGGAACAATAAACGCAAAGGCTGCTTACTTGTGGAGGCATCTGATGGTTCATCATCTGAGAGTAGTTGTTGGGATATGGAGGCTGGGGTCCAGTGGGATACCAGTAATTGGAGGTGTATCCTGGGTATGGCATCTCCTGGAAAACAAGAGCAAAGGGGAGGAAAGGATCCTGAATCAAATGCACAATTCAAAGAATGGGAAAGATTGCAGCCAAAGATACTTGCGCGGCTCCTTTGTTTCTATCATTTTTAAGCAGTGGTTATCACAAATGGGGTCAGCATTTATTGCACTGTCCCCACATTGTCCCCTTGCGAAGGTGGTTTGGGGGGGGGGGGGGGGGGGGGGGTTTGGGGGGCCCACTTTCTTGAACCACAGCCATCTGAATGGTGTAGGGACCCCCACACAGCGCCATCAGGGAGGGAGTTCCACGATTTTGACCCAAGGGACAGTCTTCCAGGAATTCCATGCAGCAACGGTCACCAAAAGCTGTCAAATGACGTAGAAGGAAATAACAAGACTGATTTAAGCTGAAGACTTTGGTTCCAAATTAAGCTCCAAACTCTCTGACAGCGCTGGATCATAGAACAGAAAAAGGCCACTCAGCCTTCCTCTCAAAGCCTTGCCCCTAGATCATGGTCCACCTCCCTTCTGAAAGGCTCAATCGACCCTGCCTCAAACACACAGTGCAACGTAGGTCGCTCTGCAGAAACGAACAGACTTGGATTCCCAAATGGCCAATCAGTGTGGATTATTTCAGTGCGGATGGGGACGCTGTGGAATTCCTCAACGGCAGACTCCGAAGGAACTGTCTGGAGAATGTGAAGGGTTCTGATGAAATCAAGTAAGATAAGCTCCTCAGGGAGGATCAGATTGTTAACGGAGTAATAACTGTTCAACTGAGCATGTAGTTATCTCAAAAAATTCCAACAATGCCAGCCCCAGACCCTTACCCGAAACCTCGCCAGCAGCACGATCCCCTCCCCGATCTCCTCCCATGGAACGTGCCCTAACAAAAGCCAGCATTACATCCCATCCTAACCCCCTCGACCACATTGGCATTTAAACTGCTGGTTTCTCAAGCTAGTGCCCTGACATGGTACCCTACCACCCCCTAGCCAGGAGGCACCCTGCCCGTGTTGATCCTGTTTAAATAACCATCCAGCGCCTCTCTTGAACTCATCAATGGAACATGCCTCCAGCACATGTCCAGCTACAGCAAAACGTTTCTCCCTATCTACCCCATCCAGCCCTTTCGAGATTTTGAGAACTTCTAGCCCTGCAGCGAGGGGCAGCTCAGAAGATGGAAGCTGACGGCAACGATGTAGCCTGATTAACAGACACTGGAGTGCCCATAACAAATCTCTGGACCACACAAAAAAACCCACAAACTCATCCTCGGGGAGAAACGCAAGGCAGAAAGGCACGATTGCAGGACAGTTTTGGTTCTGAACTTCACTCAATCATTCTGGCTATAAATCAGGGTCCCCATCCAATCCTGAAAACAGAAGATGCAACAGCCAGTAAGATGGTTTCAGAAAGAAAGCGACACTCATCTCAGGCTCAAACCTGTCGTATTTTTAAAGTCGAACCTAAACCTTAACCATACACTCCCGCATCCTGAACTAAAAAAATCCAATCAAAACACTCCAATTCTCCAACAGTTACAGTCCTTTGTGAAACAGCTGCATCAGACTCTGAGCCTCTGTCAAGTGAAAAAGCAGCGCTTCCTCGTTTCTATGCTGCTGGTTTCTCCTTTCAAGATTGCATCCCCTCATTGTGAATTGTACAGAGAAAGCAATTCCCTCCTAGCTCTCCTGTCAAGGCCTTGTAACACAGCCACCACGGTCTCAGCTCTGTCGACTATCCTCAACACGTCAAACAGGTAACCCTTTAGGGAAGGGATTCCACTGCGCTAACCTGGGTCTGGCCCACTTGTAACTCCAGACCGACAGCGGACAAAACGGAGGTCCCGTCTGTGAGCGACAAATGCTGACCTTCTCATTGATACCCGCAGCCCAGGCACAAACAGAAAGTGGGATTCCAGCATCAGTTTTCCACCAGCAGCAGCAGGTCAATCTGGAGCAAAGACTGGGCAGGTGGAGGTGAGGGAGAGACAGGTTCCGAAGAACGGTCAGAGTCATGCAGCACAGTAACAGATCCTTCTGTCCAACTCGCCCATGCCAACCAAGTTTCCCCAAACTAAGTGAGTCCCACTTGCCTGTGTTTGGCCCATACCCCTCTAAACCTTTCCTCTTCATGTAACTGTCGAAATGTCTTGTAAACATTGTAACTGGACCTGCATCTATCCCTTCCTCTGGCAGCCACTCTCTGAAACAGTTGCCTCTCAAGTCGCTTTCAATCATTCTCCTCTCACTGAAACAAGATGCCCCCAAGTTTTGAAATCCCCACCCCAGGGAAAAGATCTTTGCTGCTCATCTGATCCACATCCCTCATGTTTTTATAAACCTCTACAAGGTCACCCCTCAACCTCCTACGCTCTGGGAAGAAACGTCCCAGTCTGTCCAGTGTGTCCTTATAACTCAAACCCTCTGTTCCCAGCAACATTCTGGCAAATCCTTTCTGAACCCTCTCCGGCTTAATAATATCCTTCCTATCACAGGCTGACCAGAACTGGACACAGAACTCCGGAAGAGGCCTCATCAACATCCTGCACAACCTCAACATGACGTCCCAACTCAGTGCTCTGGCCAATGAAGGCTAACACCTTCTGAACCATCCGGTCTACCTGGGATGCAGATTTCAAACAATTATGCACCTGAACCCCTCGGTCCCTCTGTTCTACAACACTACCCAGGGGCCCTACCACTAACTGCCTACGCCCTACCCCTGTTTCTTTTTACCAAAATGCAATACCTTGCAGTTATACAAATCGAACTCCGACTCTCTCAAGTTTCTCTCTCTCTCTCTTCACATGCCCTCCCTGACCTGCTGAGTTCCTGTAGCAACTCCTCTCTTGGGGTAGGGGTGGGTACATCCTTTAGGGAAGGGTGCGGCCATCCTCACCCGTTACCTGACCCCAGACCAACATCGAGGCGCGGTTGACTCTTAACTGCCCCCCGGGGCGATTAGGGGCAGAAATGCCAGGTCCGGCCCTTGTCCAACAAAGACGGCCGCAGTGAGTCCAAACTAGTTTGGTGGGGGGGGGGGGGGGG